CTGAGAACACAAATTAGTTAGCATAAATCAGTTTAATGACGAAAAATTAGGTGTCTATTTACTTGTGACCACTCAGTGTATGTACTTGTGGTTGGAGAAAACAGTAACAATCTTTCCAAGAAAGGAAATTCATATACCGAGATTGCTAAATAATATGGAGCCAAAGGGCACAATACTTCAAAGAAGGAAGCCTTCAGTATTCTTCATGAAAATGGACCAATTTGCACAGCAGAGCGTTTAAAACAGCAATAGACTCCTATATTGCACTTAAGAAAATCTGGAGAAACAATCTCATCAGAGAAGTGAAGGCTACGATTATAAAAAACAAAACAAAAAAACACACTGACCCAAAATTCAATTATAATGTAGGTGGATATATCTCCTGAATAATAAACAAGGTTTTTGCCAAGTTTCCTGATGTAACCCCAATGAACTTATGTACCTTTGTTTCATATAAATTTAGTATTAGAAGTTAATGCCTATGCACAGTGATTTCTAACAGATAAGTTACCCCAAATCTCTTTTAAGCAGTATATTTAGGATATGTCAAGTGAAGATTGAACTGAGCATGGATAGCGTAAGGAAAAAAAACGCTTGTTTAAACAAAGAACAAACATCATTATTTAACAAATAGGACATCCTTGGGTTTTTCATGCCTGGCTGACTTCTATATTGTTATAGAATTATTACTGAATGCTGAAGCAGAGAATGCAACTTAGGCATTTCACCAAATTATGACAGGAGCAGGAATAATTGTATACTGCATTTTAGGTCAAAAAGAAAGTTTCCAGTCCATTATCCCACTATCTTAAATTACCTACGTCATGTATCATTCGTATTTCAAAGAAGATGAACTCCAGTCTCCAGCTCTTACTAACTTGTACAAATCTCTATACCATTTCTTAACTTAAGTGTTACTGATACGCCAGGGAAATGATGGCACAGAAACAGGATCAGTCCAGTACGCGCCTTCACAGAGTGACCATTGTAGTAACCTTTGTCTTGTTAGAGAACATAAAGTAACGTAATGCAGAACATCTGCAGAGAAACTTCGAAAACTTTACCTGAATACACCTAACTATAGATACATTCTTTTCTAGTTATGGAAGGATGAAATTTATAGAAGTATTTCAGAGAAAGACGTTTACTAAGGTTGGGCCAAGAAGTGACACCCTAGCAGCGCTTTTACTTACTCAAAAGGTAATCGTTGAATAAAATGTTTGTGTTGGTGATAGAGAGTTAAATAGCTCATGCTCTTTTGTAATGAGATCAGCTCACTTCATGCCCAGGTAAATTACTTTATGGCAAGCTTTGACATAAACTATCAACATCTGCCTTTCTAATATTTCAAATATGACTTCCAGCTAGTAACTGGTATCAATTCCTAATAATTTAAACAACTCGAACTCTTTTCACCAAAATCTAACTTTTTATTCAACGATTGTCTCTTAAAGAAATAAATAGCGCTGCTTTTGTGTCACAACTTTTTAATCAGAAGTTTTCAATTGTGATTCAGAGAAAGGTCTGTGGAACGTTGGTCAAGACATGTGGTCTAAGACTGTTTACGCTATCCTGCACAGAAACTTGTAGTATTGGAGAACAGTGTTTAGTTAATTATGGCCACAAGACAAAACACAAGCAACAATTGAGGAAAGAATTCTGAAGATATGAGATGTGAAACATTATTTTTACAAAGTGCGATTAACTCAGTAAGACGTTAAAATAATTAGTTTTAACAATACTGTTTTTTATAATTCCTCAGTTTTTAATTATGTTTATATATTCATTTCAAGGTTCATTATTAAATGTGCTAAGCAGTGAGGTACACTTGAAAGCTTACGTTCAATGCTTCTTTATTTCTTCATAATACGACTTTAATACAATACCTAATTTCAGTATAATTTACGAATGAAATACATGTTAGCCATATAGAATATAATATATATTTCTAGCTTTAACTAAAAATCAATTTTTCCCAAATAAAAATTCCCTGTCACCATTAATGAAACATAAATTCTGTCTTAATTTGCAGCAATCATCCGAGGACATTCATTTAGCTTTCCGCAAGGTGGCAGCACCCATGACTCAAGCTCTTCAAGTAACAGTGGTCTTTTGCAAAATTTGCATTCCTATGTTATGTGAAAAAACAAACAAACAAAACCATTTTTAAATAAAAGTAAGTTTAAACATTTTTTATTTTTACTGATGAAATGTTTATACTGAAATATTACTTTGGCTTTCAATCAACATTTACCATCCTAATAAATTTATTTAGTATGGTGCATTAACAAATGATGCACTGCTTTGCTCATATTTATCACATATTATAATAATTAGATGGACATATATTAGTGTAAATGTGTTTAAATGTTAAATATAAAAACTGATTGACAGCAGTTTGATAAACTATATTTATCTATAAACACTGTTTCTGTATGATTTTATGTTAAGAAGTATAAAAATAGACAACTGAGCAAAAAGTGACGTTTTATTAAGCATCTCACGTTTCTAAAATCATTAATATGAAAATTCAAATTTCCATATTTGGACAACTAATTAATGGATGAGTAGTTTTTAACTCTTGAGTAGCATTGCTTCTTAAGAATAATAAAAAGTTTAGTCTTTCACCCAGAAAGAGAACTGTCACTTATAATTATACGAACTAAAATCAAAGGTCTTCATGTGAATCAACAATACTTCCCTTTAAGTGAAAACTGTTTTATGTCTTCTTTTTATGAAACAATACTTCCCCTGAGTGAAAGATGAATCTTTGATTTTAAATCAATTTATGACAGGCAGCAGCATTCTCTTTGAGCGATTTATTCAAAAACACAGATCTTTCACTCAGGAGGAGTATTGTTAACTCATATAAAGTTATAAAACCCAAAGACTTATCTTTCATTCAAAATTAAAACGATTTCATGTCATAAAATCAACCAAATCAAGATTATGTTTACCTTACTCATGAGTAGAGTTTCTTGAAGAAAGATAAACCAATAAAACTAGACACCCTAATTTTCCCCAGAAACAAAAATGTCTTACCCTCTCCGCCATATTCTCTCAGCTGTAGGCTCTTACAACTACAACCTATCTAAATTTATCGTTCCTATCCTTAAACACCTCACCTTGAACGAATTTTTGATTACCGACTCTTTTACATTTGCTTCTGAAATTTCTGAAATTCCCTCTCCTGATCAATATATTATGGACAGTTTGATATTGTATCTCCATATACCAATATCCCCCTTGATGAAACTTTAAAGTTAATCGTGGACTTTCTCCTTCCCACTGACTCTGAACAGTATCTTGGCTTCATCTGTATGCAATTCCTGGAACTTCTTGTCATCTCTACAAAGTTAAACCATTTCCTCTTCATCGACAGCATCAAAGTAATGTAATTAGATTATGAATCAACCTTGTAAACGAACAGCTGCTGTGAAATAATTTAATTTCTTAAATTTCAGCTCATTAATTTTAAAATAAACCAAGAATAGTTTCGTTCATTAAAGTTTCTTCGTTTATTGTGTATGATGATAAATGTGATTTGCTTATTGCGTTTATGTGTTAGTTGCTGGTGCACCTTAGTGTAAGTACTTAATGGAGCAATGCTTCTTCTGTTACGTTACGTAAACTTTTACCAGGGATAGTAGTGATGATATATGATTCCAAAATAAACAAATTATTGCATCGAACAGACATATTCAACTTTTATTCTACGTATTCTGATCATGTTCAAGTTTTTGTAACGAAATGTGCACCTGAAAATAACATTATTAGGACTGTATATTGAAGCTTTAATAGTCTACCTTGCTGCATATTTGGTCTTTGAAAGGCAAATTCAAGCTGTTCCACACGGTCACGAGATCCCGAACAAAAGCACCCATCATAGCCTGGGTATGGAATGGTGTTGGTGCAATTCTCAACTTTTCCTCACCACGAGATACGGTCGGATAGTTGATGGCCTGGACGTAGTGTCCATGTTTTGATATCAGATTGTTGGACACGCTGGTGGAATACCAAGGATCTCCTACCTAGTTAATAAACATAAAGTAATATCAACACAAGCTTGCCAGTGTAGTTACTTTGCGCTGTTCGTAACATATAATCTGTACCTTCAATATATATCTCACAGCAGACTTGGGTGCTTGTGCGACCGTGAGATAGTCTGCTCCCCATAGCTATGCACATGATACTGAATTACATTCCCGATTATTACGATTTTTCGTGATCAGATCGATTATTATTATTTTGTTGCATCTACGATTGATATTTACTGCTAATCACGGTGTGTATTTATTGTTTCATAAGGGCTCTCAATTGATCATAGTGTAACTTACAAGAACACAAACTGTACATCATGAACACATACTTAAAATATCTGCATGTATATAAAAACAAAGACAGTAGTAAAATATGTACATTTCTAGAAACTGAACCTTGGAAAATACTTAAAAGTCCAGATGATAGACTCAAAACACGAAGATAATAATTTCTCTTCTAACAATAAATAATTATGAATACATAGAATCTACCATTTAAATTAACTTTAATTATTGAACGGATATAATATTAATGTTTTAAATGAACAACGAAAAAAGTTTGTTTTTTAAAGTGGAAACCTACACAATGGGTTATCTGGGCTATATCCACCGGGCAGAGTCGAACCTTGGTTGTAAGTCTGTAAACTTACTGCTGACCTACCGGGGAACAGAATTTTGAAAGTTTTTATTTCTAATATTGAAGTTGCATTCCCATTAAGTCGAAACCGTTTCAAATTACCCACTAAAGTGTTGATAACAGATATACCAAAGCTATATTATTAATAAGACATTCACAAAATATTTCAAATGAATTGAACTGAAAGGTTTGACAGATTTGAAAGACTTGCTCACGTGTTCTATGAATTTCTGTGATATTCAAAACAAACAGGTCTATCTTCCACTTTTCTGAGTGTTAGTTTTGAAACATGTAAGTCGCTCTCTGCATCTGGATAATCTATATATCAAATGACCCACAGAAGAACGTAATAATACCACTCAAATGTATTAGGATTGAAATAGTCATTTACGCTCCCATATTTTTAGTCCTGAAATAAACTTCATGCTGCGAAGTAAATATTCAGAATTACCGTTCTTTAATGTACACTTTTGAAGTTTAGATAAAGATGACTTTTCTTTGTCTTTAAAAATGAAACAAAGTTGCTTAGTTTTTCCATCTGAAATGCTGAACGTGATTTACCCTAAAATACTCACATGAACAGGAATGATATGAGAGGGGCAATGTACCACAGGAATACCACCATCCATTAGAGCTTTTCGAAGATAACGAACATTTTCTTGGTGTTTGTTTCGTAGAATTCGACCTTCTTCACTTTTTAAAATCTGTTGAAAGCGACCAGTTGATATTTAGCATTTTATTTTTAAACGTCTTTCTTTTCTTAAGAGTTAATGAATTTAGTTCGATGGTGGTTGCAATATAAAGACACATATTTATATAGGAAATTAAATCAGCACTCAACAACATATAATGTTTACAAAAACTGATAAAAACATGACGTTTATCTTATCTTTAGAAAAGTGTTTAACTTTGTTTTAAATAAAAAATATTATTTTGCTTTATAATCTTATAATAATATAGTTGTAAAAACAATAAAATGGTAACAAGTATAATTCCCTAGACGAACTGAAATTATTTCAATTATTAAATTATACAAATATAAGTGTTTATGTTACAAAAACCAACTCGAATCGAGGTCAACGCCCCCTTCAGAACAGAAGGTGGAAGAGAAGTGGTGAAAATAAAGCCTGCAGCGTAGCTTCGGACTGTGTCCACTAGAGGTGCTGTGCTGGCAATGTAACCTCCAATATTTCCAAAGGCTTTTCCTTGAAAAAAGGGAAAAGTGTTTAGAAAGTAATGCATAAAGAAGATAGAGTAATACAATCTGTAAGTGTCCATTTGTATGTTCATAGCTTAATTACAATTAGTTAAGTTTAAGGTGTCTGACAAACATTAGAACCTAGATTTTTTACAGGAAGGTTTTTCAGGTAGCATTTTTATTTTTATTTGTTTTCAAAGAAATGAGAAAAACAAAACAAAAAATTCTAACGGATGAAATTATTTTCGATTTATATATTTTCTTTAATGAATATTATACTACTATTTTGCATAACTAAAGAATTTGATTTGAAATAACCTTACTTTAAAACAACATAAGCAATACGATATAATCCATATATGAACTTCTGACAAAACTGTGTTGTATATATATTAAGAAATTAATGACCAGAAATTCCTTTAAAAAGTGTTATTATTTTTTCGTATTTTCACCTTCAACCTTTCATCAGGAACTGTACACTCCCAATGATTTCCATTTTGGGCTGGGTGTGATCCACTCTGTATGCTCAAACTATGAATCCGGTGGTTCGTGGCACGCTGTCCCTTGCTGCATAAACATGCTCTGCCCCTTAGAGCATTAGATGCACTATAAGTGTGACGGTCAAATCCAACTATTTGACCAGCTAAAATTAGTCCATTAGTTGGTGGTGGGTACCGCTGACTGGCTACTTTCCTCATAATCTATCAATTCAAGTAGTTCTTTTTTGTAACTAGTCTATTGACAGGTTTTTTTAAACTGTTTATCCCATAGTGGCTTACAATGGTTTCGCTTTTTAAAAACAAAAATCAGTGTTTACAGATGCTCTATGTTCCTAATGTACAGTACTGTACAAAAGTGTTAGGACAAGAGAATATTTTGCCATTCTTTCCGTTTTATGGGAATAATTCTTCCATGCCATTACAGAATGTAAATTTCAACACTATGGTAATGCTTCACTGATCCCTGTTGACAAC